CCCCCGCCCGCCGTGAGTTCCTTCTGAACGGGAACCTTTGCTCATCTGTGTGCTGCGGGCCGTAAACAGGCTTCCAGGTCCCCTGAAAACATGCAGTCATCTGAAAAATGAAGTGACTTAATTTTTAACAAAATTTGGAGGACAGCCATTCTGAATTTCCTGCCACCTGCCTGCCAGTTTGTAGCCCTCTTTTCCAAATTAGTTTCCTCTTTAATTTCCTTCCCCAGAGGCCTTAAATCATAGGTGTCTAACTTACAACCCAACTTTCATGGGATCCGGGAGAACCCTTGATCTCCCTTCCGGTTCTGAGTGTAAATAAGTTTTTTTTTAATTCACCCTGATTTATTTTAAACCTGGAAATTAACAAGCGTAGGCATTGTGGCTTATTCTAAAGTGTGCCTGTGGGTCAAAACGTAACTGTTCATGAAATGAGTTAAAAGCAATAAGATTTGATTAAATTAATGTTTATCCTGTCTGCTCTTCCTTTTTCTGATGGGGTCTGACTCCCTTTGCAATGTAGATTTTGCAGTGTTACTCCAAGACGGGTGCAATCTTAACTCAATAAATTTGTGCATCTCTGCCTTAAATGCTTTGAGGTTGTCTACCTTTGAGGTAGGTGAAGGTGATGGGTCTAGACATCTGGGTTCCAAGCAGCCAAGATATCTGCAGGTACCCCTTGCTTGGAGCAAGGATGAGAGATCCATACCTTCACGTCTAACTGGTTAGATTCCCAAAGGGAGCCAGCTGGCCACTAAAGGAAACAACTCTTGGACTTTCAGTCTGATCTTCTCCTAAGAACTTCTAAGAAGTTCTTCTTAGTTTTGAATTCACCTGCGAAGGAAGGGAAATTGCCAATTCCCAGGCCCATTTTAGCTTGACTTTGTTCTCGAGGGAACTGTTACATAAGTAAGTTTTTCATTTCTAGGAAAGGATTGAAAATATCAACCATGCTGGCAGCGGTACTATCAGAGCTGAGCAGCTGGGGGATAAAACTTGCCAGTTTTTCTTAGAAGAAAAAACAAATTGCCTTGAGCTTCTGGCTCACTTTTTTAAACATTCCATGGGGTAGGCGGTCAACAATATAATATATTGTTAAAAATCTTCAAACATACACAGAAGCTAAACAGCATGCTAAATAAGACTAAAATGAGATTGGTGGCGTGTGGTTCACACAACGTTTGGCTTATCATATGGGGTGAATGAAGGCATCTTGTTTAGATGTCATCTTGTTTTTGTTTTCTTATCCAGTGTTTAGGTGAACCCAGGAATTTGGTTTCATGGATCGGGGTTAAAGGTTTAGGATGCTGTGTGAATCCAGGCTGTATATTTGCGCCCAAAAAAGTAAAGGAGTAAATGGATAATGTACCAATCAGCTAAGAATCATGTGGGAGCCTAAGGTGGCCATCAAGTGGCTTTCTGCCTGGTTGACTTTCTGTTCTTTTTTATGGGGTTTTCCCACATTTCTTCCAGAGCTACATACCTCTGAGTTCCTGCAAGTTGTTGATTCCACATGGCTAGTGCTCAATGTCTCGTCCAACGGCAGTGCCTCCATCAACAACCAGCCTATAGGAGTCACCAAGATTGCAAAGTCTGTTATTGCACCGCTGGCGGAACATAACGTCTCAGTCTTAATGTTGTCCACCTATCAGACTGATTTTATTTTGGTGAGCCGCTGGGTAGCTGGTTTCAAAGCAGGGATGGGTATCATGGTACGATAAGGGCTGAGTTCAAAGGTTGGGATCCCCCTACACACACACACACACAGACACACACACACACTTAACTAGGAGAATTGGAAATGGGAGGGTGTTTGGTTTGGAAACACCAAAAAAGGTCAGTGAACCCAATCAGTTGACCACCCCCTGGGGAGGAGGTAGATTTAGCCCCAAACAGATTTACTCTTGCATAAGGTTAACCTTATCCCACCCATTCAGCCATGTCATGTCAACACCAAAAGCTAGTTGCTTGCCAACAGTGGCCAACTTGGTCCTCCAAGGGGAAGGATCTGCTGAAAAAGCAGGACCTGTCTAGTTGGAATTCCTGTGGAATGAGAAGACTTCTGAATCAACAGCCACTCTGTCTTCCTGGGCTTAAGCCCATTCAGACCCTTGGCAGCCTCGAGTCATGACTTTTGACTGCATGTCTTTTGGCCTAGGGCAAAGATACACAACTGGATGATACTTCATCTGGTGCTAATGGTTAACCTCACTCAGACTGTCTGAGAGGGAGGGTCTGAATCCTGCCCCCCCCCCATCTTGGAAAGTCTAAGGCTTGAATGCTCTGCTCCACCAATTGGAACACTCAAGAAGTGAGAGGACCATTGCAGTGTGGGGCCCTGACCCCCAAGCCATGCAGGTAGTCTATAAGCATACAATGATTGATGATATTGAAGGCTGCTGAGAGGTTTAGGGCCAGGAAGGTCCCATTCTCCCCTGCCGCGTTCAAGTCCTCCCACAAGTCATCTGCAAGAGTAACCAGTGGAGTTTCAGACCCATACCCAGGTCTGAATCCATATTGAAAAGGATCCAGATTGTCTGCTTTATCTAGGCCTAGCTCCTGTCCCACCACCTTCTCAACAGCCTTTCCCAGGAAGGAGAGATAGGAGACAGGGTGTTGGTTATATAGAAGAGCTTGGTTATCAAAGAGAGCACACACGACTACTTCTTTCAAGACAGGTGGCATCACCCCTCTCAAGGAAGCAGTGGTGAAATTCCAAGTTGCTCCAGCAATTTCAGAACTGGAGTCCCTGAATTAATGTTAAACTAGCTGGAAGGGGGGGGGGCGGGGAACCATCTTGCTGATGTCTGCTAAATTACTTTCTGTTTTCAACCTTAGGAAACACGATAGTGGAATCCAAATTTTAGTTGGGCTGAAACTGGCAGGGATGTGGCCAAATAATTGATCTCTCCAGAATACTGCAGGTTTTCCCTGGCAAATTTAAATTGGAGAACTGGCTCCTAAATTTCAAGAGGTTGGGCTAGGCTACCAGTTGTCTACCCTTGCTCTAAAATTGCTCTTTCCAATCTGGAACCAACCCTGGTTTGAAGAAGTTGGAACCAGCTGGCAGGGTGAGAGAATTATGATATCCCACAATGGTAAATGGAAAGTGGTGAGGCTGAGGCTCAGAGAGACCAACTGGCCAGCAAGAACCAGGTCCAGATTCAAGGTGGAAGCCACGATGTAGCAGCAGTGACCTTTGGTTTTCCTTTCAGGTACGAGAGAAGGATCTGCCTGTGGTCATCCACACCCTGGCAAGTGAATTCGAAATCTATAAGGAGGTGAATGGAGAACCGGTCCCTGCAAACTGTGAAGACATGAGCAACGGATTCCACAAACCAAAGCAAGGTGGGTTTTCTGTCATTGAGGCCAAGTCAGATTTATTCCATGGCCTGTCCAGCTTCATTGGTAGACCTTATGGTTGGGTTCTGCCCCCAGTTTCTTGCATGTAGTGTAAATGAAATGAATGTTACTTAATTTATTAGAAGCCTAGAGAGCGTGTTAAAGCCCAATGTTTGGCATTTGCACGGCACCATGAACTGAAAACTCACCAAGCATGTTTTCCTCTGTGCCACTTCTGTAGTTGGTTTATGGATTGTCCGAATCCAGAAACGTGGGTGAATAAACTAGGGGCAAAAATATCTACCTGTGCTCTTGGGCACCTGTTTTCCTGCCCATAATATTCTTCCTTTCCTCATTTGTGCTTGACTAGACACAGGAGACATGGGCTGCAAAGAGTCAGGAGGCCACTAGATGGCAGCCGAGGGAGTGTTCTGAATGTGTGCTGCCATCTAGTGGTCATTTCGAGTTTTGCAGTCTAGAGATGTTTATGGCTGTGCTTGACCGTGTCGATGCTCACGGATCTGCCCGTTGCTCCCTGCTCTTATATTGGGTCTCGGATGTGTCTCTCTCTGCTTCCCAGAGTTCAGTGCCACTGTGCATCCAGTGCAGACCCCTCAGAACAGATTCTGCATTCTCAGCATCGCCTCCGAAACCTTGCCTGCCATTGCCACCATACTCATTGATGTCTTGTTCTACTCACCCAGGTAAGTGATCTGTTGGTGCTGCTCATGTGGAAAAGAAGAAGGCTGCTAAGAAAAAAGGAACATGCAAAAGATCCTCCAGTAGTGCTCTATCCCAGGGTTCCCCAATCTGGATACTTCGAGATTTTCAGCAGTGGACATGCAGGCTGGGAAGTTCTGGGATCTCCCCATCTGGAAGTTGCCCAGGTTCTAATCCATGGCCTTATGGTTTGAGTGAGGACATCTCAGGAGTGTATGTGCCCCCCATCATAGCTTGGGATTGACTGCTTTAAAGTGGTCCCTGAGAAGGTGCACATCTGAAAGATCATTCTGGCCTTTATCTGACATTGTAACTGCTCCCTTTCTTGTAGACAGAAAACAGTCCAGTTGCAACTAGGATAATGGATTGGTTATCCTTTCCCTTGTGGGCCTGGTTCAGCTAAGATCAGCAGAAGAAGTCTTGTTGAGTTGTTAATGATGGCAACCATTTTCTGGAGTGGTCCCCCTACAATATTCAGGGGGTGCCCACCATGATCTTTTGTAGATGCACAGGGAGACTCCATCTTTCCTAGGGCAATTTCCCCCCAATTTGGCCTCCTCCAAATACATTGGGACTGCAATTTCAGAAATGCCTAGCCACCATGGCTGCTGGGCAAAGCTGAAGAAAGTTGATGTGGATCTTCCTTCTTTGTGAGAATATTTGATGGATCTCAGCAACCTCACTTGGCCAGCCTGGGTTCAAAATAATTGGGTATCATCAGCATACTGATGATACTGGGCCCCAGACCAGCAGCTGACTTCATCCAGTGGTTTCATGTAGATGTTGAACAGGAGGGGAGCAAGTGGCATTGTTTTACAGTGGTTCTCCTCCTTCCTCAAATAGTGCAATACAGATTTTTTGTTGTTCAGTCGTTAAGTCGTGTCCGAGACTTCGTGACCCCATGAACCATATCGCCCCAGGCCTTCCTGTGAAGGCACTGCCTCCCTGAGTTTGCTCAGTTTCATGCTCAAATACAGACTTTAGCAGACCAGATAGTTGGCATAGAACAGAAATATCCGGACTCCTTACTTATTGTTTTAGGAGACTTTAACAATACTAACCTTATAAAGTCTTCCTTCCTTCCTTCCTTCCTTCCTTCCTTCCTTCCTTCCTTCCTTCCTTCCTTCCTTCCTTCCTTCCTTCCTTCCGAGAGAACCACTGTAAAACAATGCCACTGGTTCCCAAACCCCAGTGCTGATCCAGAATGATACCATGGTTGAGAGTATCAGAAATCTGAAAAATCAAAGAGTATTCCTAAACAGACCACAGGTAGTCCTTATAACCACAATTGGGTCTGGAACTTCCATCGCTAAGCGATGAGGTCATTAAGTGAGTCAGGCCTGATTTTACAATCTTTTTTGCCGTGGTTGTTAAGCGAATCCAGCTTCCCCCGTTGACTTTGCTTGTTGGAAGCCCCCTGGGAAGGTCGCAAATGACCCCAGGACAGTGCAACCATCATAAATACATGCTGGTTGCCAAGCACCCAAATTCTGATCACATGACTGTGGGGAACACTGTGACGGTCATAAGTGCGAGGACCAGTCACTTTTTTCAGCACCATTGTAACTTTGAATGGTCGTAAGTCAAGGACTACCTGTAATCTTATTTTTTGCTGTGATCAGTTTGTCTGATCTAAACTGCAGTTTGGTAAGACCATACATCATTGCATTTATAGCAGGAGAGAAGTCCTCCTGGAGCAGTTTTCATCTCCACCCCATACTTCCAAAAAAGGGGATATTTATCGTCCAAACTTTTACTTTGGTAAATTATGCTCTTTTTTTGGCATTTTCAGCCCACCAAAAGAAGGAGCTGCTAACAACCAGGACTCCATCACTTTCTTTGCTTTCTCACTGATCGAGGGCTACATCTCCATCGTCATGGATGCAGAGACCAAAAAGAAGTAGGTGCCATGCGAAGAGGAGTTTTGTGTTTGCTGTGGCTCAAGGGAAAGGAATGCTGGGGACGTCCTCTTGAGTAGGAGTAATTATACCAGGTGCAATAGTTACAGCATAATGCATGCAGTGATATTTCATAATTTTTTGAAAGTTGAATTTTTGTTTGAGTTGTGTAGTGGTGTATGGAGATAACCTTGCAGAAGGAATGCAGGAATGGTTAAGTAAATGTCAGCTTAGCCTTGGGAAGGAAAAAGGGGTAAGAAAGAAACTCAAGATTGTCCCACCTTGGTTCTCTTTGGTGTAAGAGCAGGGAGAGAGAAACTCTGCCAAACTCTCAAAATTCTGTTCTTATATCTTATTACAATAAAGTAGAGTTCCAGTAATCCTTGTGAAGTCTGATGCCTGGGCTATCTCAGTGGGCTGACAAATTACAGTGTTGGAGAGGACTTCAATTGTCGAAACTGCCAAATTGAATCAGTGACTTGGATTACTGCTTAACAGTACTGTCAAGAGCTGTAGTTCAGTAGCAGAATGCCGATTTTTCACGCCAAGGGGTTCAATCCCAGATATCTCCAAGTACTGATGGAAAAAAGCTCTTCTCTGGAATGATCAATATGAGCTGAGCATTTTGGTTGCAGAAATAGCCTGGTTGCATATGCAGCCTCCAGCCAGTCATGGTGTGGAGTAGAGAACTTCCTGTAACTACGGATGACACAAGGGACAGGTAGAAGAAGTCTTAGGGGGTTCCTTAGTTGAGTCAAATAAGCATCTGGGTTAGCTTTGCTCCAGTGGATAACATTGTAGAAAAAAGTCAGATCCCCTTCTCCTTTTCCAGGTTCCCTAGTGACCTGCTGTTGACCAGTTCCTCAGGAGAGCTCTGGAGGATGGTGAGAATTGGCGGGCAGCCCCTTGGCTTTGGTGAGTTTCATTGTATTCTGGTCTCCACCCTTTTTCCAATGATGACGGTACTATAGATAGTAGGTTCTCTTGGAGTGTAATTAACTCAGAAGTAAGCAGAATAACTCCTTTTTCTCAGATGCATCGATCAGGTTACCTTTCTTTCCACTGTCGTGCACATTTCCTGCAGTGTGCACCACTCTGTCCTAATAAACTATGAGACATTGTGAAGTCTGCTTCTTATCACAGTTGCAGGTCTCTGATCTAATAGAAGGTCCTCCACATGTTGATCGTGTTGATCACTTGTTGGTCATGTTGACTCGTAACCTACTGACCTTGATGCAAAGGTGATTGAGGACCTTCTAAATGCCCTCATGCCACCTGTGTTCCTTCTTGTTAATGCTCATCTCATCCTGTACAAGGTTTAATGGTGGCTGGGATGGAATTCCAACCCAATTCTTCTTTAGCGCAAGTTGGTTGTCTGTTTAAGGCTTTTATTGCAGTTAGAAAGCTTCTGCCTGCTTCCCAGGATCTTCACTCCATCATGAGATGTCTAGCATCCTCCAATTGTGCTTTTCCTCTTATTTTGGCTAGATGTAGTTCTGTGGATGTCTGGAGGGGTTTCTCTCACAGCGAACATGCAATTTATTTGCTTTAGTCGGCCAAAGTAATACAGGTAGTCCTTGAGTTATGACGGTAATTGGGTCTGAAATTTCTGTTGCTAAGTGATGCAGTCTTAAAGGGCGATGTGACTGCATCGCTTAGTGACGACAATCCTGGCACTACCCTAACCCCATTGCTGTTGATAACTGAATCCTGCTGGTCATTAGGCAAGGACCCACCCCGATCCACGCCACTCCCAGCTTGGTCCCTCCCAATCCTAAGTGTCAGTAATGTAAGGGAGTGCCTCCTCTGCCTCCTCTTCAACTCCCCCCACCCAGCTATCTCCCCCTCATCTCTGCCCTTTTGGCTGCCCTGCACAGTGGCACTCCTCATGGCAGTGGCGCTGGGGCTAAAATAGAGGCCCGGGGCCTTCAGCAGTCTCAGCTGGCAGCCACCGCCCCCAGGCCTCTACTTCAGCCCCAGCACTGTCACTGCCGAAGAGCGCTGCTTCGAGCCCCACGTCTTGGCCGGCCACGTAAGCGCCACAGCACAAAGCCCCAGCCACTCCCGCCACCTTGTGCTCTGCAGTACCCAGCTGACCTTTGCCGTCTTCCACTGATGACGAGGCGCGCCCGGCCTGGCCCTACGCGAGGCAGCTGCTGGCCACGCCAGGCCTTCTTCCTGAGGCCAGGTGTGCCGTTCTCCAAATTGCAGGCGCCATTCTTGCGATGCTTCGGAAAGCCTGCGGAAAGCTTCTGAGACCTTCCAAAGCATCACAAGAACGATGTGCGCCGTTTGGAGAACGGCACACCTGGCCTCAGGAAAAAGGGCAGAGATGGGGCGAGAAATAGTTGGGTGGGGGGAGTTGAAGCATCCCTGTAGTCATAAATGCAGGTGGGCTGCCAAGTACCAAATTTCAATCATGTGACTAAGAGTGCTGCAACGGCCATAACTTTGGGGACTGGGCATAAGTACTATTTGTTCAGTGCCGCCGTAACTTTGAATAGTCACTGAACGAATGGTTGTTAATCGAGGACTACCTGTATGGATATTTGGTAGGGCTATCAGATCTGGGCTACGAAGACACGCTTAACCACTAGATGGCAGGAGAGATACGGAAAACTTGAAGAGCATCTGGCCAATTTGGGGGTTGCGGGATTGGACGGGAAAATGTCTGCTCGGCACCTGGTGATTTTGGGGAAGTACAATGCTGAGCCAGCTCCGTATCTTAAGAAAATGACAGCTGCCGTCCTCTTATCTTGGATGGAAGATAAGAAGAAGGAAGAAGCCAGATCTCATTTCTTTTTTTTTTTTTTTAATAA